GTACGAACAATCAGGTTTAGTAGTAATTGTCTGAATGCGACTCTGTTTCGGACTGCTTCTGACTCGACTGACTGACTCGCTCGCTCTGACTGACTGAAAGACTCCTGACGGACTTCTGACTGACCTCGCTCCAGACTTCAGACTGAACAGTATTTAGTCACCCCCCCACACACACGAAGGCATCATGTGGCACAAGGCCGGTTTAACGTTGGATCCCCGAGCCCGTGGGCTCGGCCAAAAATATGCCCTTTGAACAGGTATAAACGGGTTCAGGGTCGGTTTACCTCCCCGAAAGAGCCTCCGCCCTTCGGCGTAGCCTCGTTCGGGTTCCTCCCCGCCCGATCAGCCGGTCACCCGACTTCGGAATGAAGTCCCTGCTTCCTCTTGATGCGCAGTATTTATTACGTATGGAATAGTCCATTATGTTATTATGGGTAAGGTCCCATAACAATACAAATAAATGAATTCAAAAATAAACAAAATAAAATGACAAAAATAATATAGATAAATAAAATGAACTAAAACTTTACCATAAATAATGTAAAACATTAGCCAAGAAGAAAAAACTGAAAAAAGCGTTTTGTCCTTCTTGTCCTTTAAAGGAATCCCACGGAAAATGATGCAACACATGATCTTCCGATCTCTTAATATTGTTTTATTTTTTTATCTAGCCGATTTCATATAGATCCTTTTCTTTTTCTTTCCATCTGTTTTGTTAGTAGATATCCCATTCATTTCACTATCCGTGGCAGAATTTCTATTACCACAGTGTGGGATATCTACTAACAAAAGTGATTGAAAGAGTAATACTCTAAATAACATCGGCTAGATAAATAAAAAAAAAAGAATTCAAAATTCTCAGCATCTCTCGTTCTTGCTCAGGACGATGAAGACCTAAAAAACGAATTTCCATTTTGACATACAGTTTTCTCCAATATTTTATTGATATATATATATATATATATATATATATATATATATATATATATATATATACGTATATATCGTTATTTCATATATTTCTTTGAATATGACAGACAAGGGAAATTTGATTATTTTTTTTTTCATTTAGTTTTTTCTTATATTTTTAGATTATTCAAAATCCCATTACATCTAAACAAGCGATGACCATCAGAGTGTATCAATTTCACGGAAAAGTAAAAATTGAGTTTCTTGATTATAGGTAATTGATTTATCAATTACTTATATCGGACATACCACCACCTCCTTCATAAGACGCCTCATGTGACACTTATCTGATCAATTTGCTATGAAAAAGCACTTAGCCACCCACAATTTACGAGAAACCTTATGGAAAATTCTGATGGTAAACACTAACATTTCATATAAATCACATTACCAAAAACAACTCGCTGTGAAAAACAAATAAAAAAAGACGTTAACTCGAATTCCAGCCGCACTCAAAGTTCAGAACAAAAACAAATATATTTTAAACAGTCAGAGATAAAGGGAAATTAATAAAACCTAAAAAGAAACACCCTTGAAAATGGCTAAAGAAGTGGCCTAAAAGGGCTTGGGACAATGGAAAATACGGAGAAATTTTGCTCAGTCCCATCAAACTTGAAATTGTGAGAATGTTGGAAAAAGTAAATAAAATTTAATTAAATTCAGTCAGTCACATTACACAAAATGTGTCTGTATCTATCTAAATAGGACCAAAACAGGGGTACCTCGAGGTGGTACAGTTGATAGCAAGCTTGGCTCACTAGAACAATTACGGCTGAGTAGTGAGTTCGATCCTCACTATGTGCTCCCTAATGTCGGCTTTGTGCCACATCTAAGCTACGATTGGAAAACACTATATAGGACAAAAAAAAACAGTGTGAGTTTAATACCCGGTTAAAGCAGTGGAGAATTAGGAGAGGGGAATTAACAGGAGATAACTGATGACTGACATCCATTAGACATGGCACGTGGAGCTAGAACAGTCTACCCCAGTGAGCGAAATAAAGGGTTTAGTTCGACATTCCAACCATCTGAAGAAGGCCGGAGCGTACAACGGCCGAAACGATGTAATAAATATAGCGACAAAGACGAGGACAACTGTCCCAAAAATGTAAATAGGGAAAATATGTCTGCTACGCAAATATACATTAATATATATTTAGAAAAATATAGCAAACTTCGAACGTTTTTTTTTTTTTGCGACGCGTTTCATTCGTTGGGATTTCATTGGACTGAATTTTCACGTCTACACATGCGCACGGAATGAGAGACGGTGGTAGTTTAAATATTTTTGAAAGACTATTAAATACTTTTTGTTGATATATAAAATTATACAAAATTATATATGGTTATATATATATATATATATATATATATATATATAAATGGGGTGGGGGGGTGCAAATATATAGAAAAATAGGAAAGATCACGATAGGTAAATAATACGAAGTTCTTTAGTATTTTGTTTTTTATTTTTAAAAAACAGTGCTCAATAAATAGACCATAAAGTAACTAATATGCTGATACAAATTGT